ATAAAACTTCAAAAGGAATGCTAATTTTTTTCTTGATGCAGATCCACGCATGAAAGAATATATTTAAGGTTTCTTGTGTGTCCACGGAGAGCTTCGGTTCATGTATGTCAGAGTGAATTGTTATTCCATCTATGTTATATGTAAGTGTTTGCTAATGCTGAGGATCTCCAATATAAGCAGAACTCAAGGTAAGTACTCGACAATGTAAAACAATTTTCAAAGCTCACTAACCAGCAGTCGGTTCAGGAAAACAATTTTCAGCAGCGACTAACCGGAGTGATCGTTTCAGAAATGCTTGCATCGAAGCCGGTGTTGTAACTCGTCCTTTCAGTAATGTGGTGAAATATTGGTAGCTCGGATGAGTTTATTGGTTGTTCATCAGGTGGGTGTTGATCTGTTCGCCGAGCTTGGCCATTGGCTTGCAAACTTGTCGTCACCATACGAGGAGGCATCATCACTGCGCACTGATGATGTCTCCTCGTATGGTGACGAAACGTTTGCAAGCCAATTGCCAAGCTCGGCGAACAGATCAAAATCCATGTGATCAACAACCAATCGACCTTTCAGTATTAGACGTTACAATATAAGATTCGCTTTATTCCTTCTGCTGAAGTCTTTTCAACCAGAAGTGTGAGTTAAATGAACATTAGGCTCCACAATTTGGTAAGGAGATATATGTTTATTGACGACATGGGCAAGTTGCTGGAAAATTAGCCTTCTTATTTACCACGTGCGCCGAAACCAAACCTGCCGAAGAACTAAATATCCATGATCATCTAGTTTGGAAATCAACGATAATCAAGAATTCGTATTTTTCGACGGCAAACCAACCGCAAGATTCTTTGGTACTCCACTGTGCTACTTCCAAGAAGAGACAGTAAAAAACCCAATGCGTTTTGCACTGCTCTCATGTTTTCAAGTGCGTGCACCAAATATAAACCTGAGTTTACCAGAAACTGTATAATTCATTCAGTCCACACCGCCAGAATGAAATAATCGGGTTGAGCGGCAGAGCTAATCTGGTTTTACTAATCAATCAAAACGGTTATTACAATCTATAGAAAAATTATCGAACAACCATACTGTCTTGCTTTATATGTGCCCTATTGAATAGATGCCAAACATCCCACATTTTATTCAAAATTATCAATAACACATGAGCAACAATGAGAAAGGAACAGACAATCAATTTCTTCTTTCGGCTAGTCTTCCTCGGGCTTTGAGACAACTACGCTTGCAAATTCTGCCCCACCCTAGGAAACTGAACGGCGTCCCGCTTGGACGTTAATTGGGCGTAGAGTGAATAAAGTAACAGGGAAAATTTCTTACCATCCTCTTTGTACAAATTTCTGACACCTGTATGAGTCCAATGGTATAAACAGCAGATATATTGTTATATACTCGTACGGTTTGATTGTAATATTTTAATATCTTGGTGAAACATGCCGTGCAAGTGACATCAAAATGCAGCGCTTACGTAAAAATGTATTCTCTGTGACCCAGAGCTGGTCGCCCCCTAGGAGAAGCTTCCTGGTGCCAGTGGATTTGGAAACAGTGGGCGAAATTCCATCGAACGAAGATTTCTATCGGTAGTAAGCCTCCAAGTGTTCCGTCTGAATGCCATCCTAGCTTCTTTTTCACATCAAAGTCACCTCATAGAGGACACTATTCGCGTAAATGTCATGCACCAGAATCGGATCTCAAATATGAAGTGATTTACAATTCGTACAATTGTCGGCATTCTGGTCAGATTGACTGACTTCATCGAACTGGTGTGAAACAAGG